TGTGGGTTGAGCAACACTTTAACAAACGAATCTGAAACAAAACAAATTTTACCATCGTGCACATCTCTACATAGAAGCCAATTCATTTTAAAATGTAATATCCTGAAGATGGGCAGTGTATATAAATATGTACAAACATGAAAACAATGCAGAAAAGATTTAAAATAATAAAATAAATAAATAAAAAAACAGAAATAAACCGTTTTTTTTTTTTTTTATTTATTTACCCTGCTGGTGAGAGCACAGCAAGAAAAATTCAGCAATCTATCTTGTTCAGAACAGGCTCCATACGAATCACAGTGTCTGTATTTCATGATCAGCAATTTATCATTTATGGATGGGGGCTTGACTCTGACATCTTGGCCAATCAACTTCAAGGGCAGCACCTCACGTGCTAGGCAGAGAAGTTCTTTCCGAAATGGCCATGGGTTATATGGACCCATTGGTTCTGAAGACTGGGTCAGAGATAGGATTTCTGACACCAGCACAACAGTCTGATCACAGCAAGTTCTATCACAGCATGGCTGTCTTGGGCAGGCTCCTTCTAACGGATTATGGGTAGCTGAGCCACACAATTGTATACGTTCACCTAGTCCAAAATGTGCATTATCAGAGAGAATTAGTTTAGACTTTCTGCGACTCATATTATGGATTTTATTAGAGATAAAATATATTCCCTCTGAACTTTAAAAGACTGTCACAGTGGTGTGCTTTTCCATCCGAGATAACACAGCCCCCTGTGTATTCTACACATGAAAGTGCTGATGAGATGACAATTATCCTGTTATCTGTACACAAACCTGTGATGGGGATCATCTGCAACTGGGTGGGTTCCTTCGTTCCCAGGCCCAAGAGCTTTCGATTTGGATTCTAAATTATAACTAAAGTATTGGGAGTAGGGTTGCCACCTCATCCCTTTAAAACCAAAACACATATTAGTTACACAGGTTCTGTGGCTGATTAAGGTGGTAATTAAATTACATTAGTTCTTTATCTGTATTAAATTAGCCCCAGAACCTGTGTAATTAGTAAATGTGTTCAGTTTTAAAGGGATGAGGTGGCAACCCTAATTGGGACACCCCTCCAAATCATTTGATGCAATCCCCTCCATGGCCACAGGTGTATAAAATCAAGCACCTAGGCATGCAGACTGCTTCTACAAACATTTTTGAAAGAATGGGTCGCTCTCAGGAGCTCAGTGAATACAAGCGTGGTACCATGATAGGTTGCAACCTGTGCAATAAGTCATCCGTGACATTTCCTTGTTACTAAATATTCCACGGTCAACTGTTAGTGGTATTATAACAAAGTGGAAGCAACTGGGAACAACAGCAACTCAGCCACAAAGTGGTAGTCCACGTAAAATGACAGAGCGGGGTCAGGGCATGCTGAAGCACACAGTGCGCAGAAGTTGCCAACTGTCTGCAGAGTCAATAGCTAAAGACCTCCAAACTTCATGTGGCCTTCAGATTAGCCCAACAACAGTGCATAGAGAGGTTCATGGAATGGGTTTCCATGGCCGAGCAGCTGCATCCAAGCCTTACATCACCAAGTGCAATGCAAAGCGTTGGATGCAGTGGTGTAAAGCACGCCGCCACTGGACTCTAAAGCAGCGGTCTCCAAATGTTCTAAACAAAGTGCTTTATAGGGATAAATGTGATCCTTACTATCTCCTACTTCATAACAGTACATCTTAATGAAATAACAGTAATAAAAGTGTACAATTAAGTATAGGAGTGTCTTAGAGTAAGGTCCATTACACTAGTAGTGGCTATTATTATGCGTAATATATATATATATATATATATATATATATATTACACACACATATACAGTCAGGTCCATAAATATTGGGACATCAACACAATTCTAACATTTCTGGCTCTATACACCACCACAATGGATTTGAAATGAAACAAACAAGATGTGCTTTAACTGCAGACTGTCAGCTTTAATTTGAGGGTATTTACATCCAAATCAGGTGAACGGTGTAGGAATTACAACAGTTTGCATATGTGCCTCCCACTTGTTAAGGGACCAAAAGTAATGGGACAATTGGCTTCTCAGCTGTTCCATGGCCAGGTGTGTGTTATTCCCTCATTATCCCAATTACAATGAGCAGATAAAAGGTCCAGAGTTCATTTCAAGTGGGCTATTTGCATTTGGAATCTGTTGCTGTCAACTCTCAAGATGAGATCCAAAGAGCTGTCACTCTCAGTGAAGCAAGCCATCATTAGGCTGAAAAAACAAAACAAACCCATCAGAGAGATAGCAAAAACATTAGGCGTGGCCAAAACAACTGTTTGGAACATTCTTAAAAAGAAGGAACGCACCGGTGAGCTTAGCAACACCAAAAGACCCGGAAGACCACGGAAAACAACTGTGGTGGATGACCAAAGAATTCTTTCCCTGGTGAAGAAATGAGATTAATGTCAGTGAGAGAAATAGTGCTCTATCATTGGTGTAAGTGAGAGGAATAGTGCCCCATCATTGGTGTCAGTGAGAGGAATAGTGCCCCATCATTGGTGTCAGTGGGAGGAATAATACCCCATTATTGGTGTCAGTGGGAAGAATAATGCCTCTTCACTGGTGTCAGTAAGAAGAATAGTGCCTCATCATTGTTGTCAGTGGGAGGAATAGTGCCCCATCTCTGGTGTCAGTGGGAGGAATAATGCCTCATCATTGGTGTCACTGGGAGGAATAGTGCCCCATCATTAATGTCAGTGGGAAGAATAGTGCCCCATCATTGGTGTCAGTGGGAAGAATAACGCCCCATCATTGTCATCAGTTGGAGGAATAGTGCCCCATCATTGGTGTCAGTGGGAAGCATAATGCCCCATCATTGTTGTCAGTTGGAGGAATAGTGTCTCATCATTGGTGTCAGTGAGGGGAATGGTGCCCAATCATTGGTAGCAGTGGGAAGATTAGTGCCCCATTGTTGAAATTGGTGGCAGAAGTTATGCCCTGTTAGTGTCAGTGGGCAAACTAGTGTCTTGTATCAGTGGGAAGAGTAGTGCCCCAAGGGCCAGTTAGAGGCAAGCAAAGGGCCACATCAGGCCCCGGGCCACAGTTTGGAGACCACTGCTCTAGAACTTCTCTGTCTGGCAATCCGATGGACATGTCTGAGATTGGTGGTTTCCAGGAGAACAGTATTTTCCTGACTGCATTATGCCAAGTGTAAAGTTTGGTGGAGGGGGGATTATGGTGTGGGTTGCTTTTCAGTGGTTGGGCTTGGCCCCTTAGTTCCAGTGAAGGAAACTCTTAAGGTGTCAGCATACCAAGACATTTTGGACAATTTTATGCTCCCAACTTTGTGGGAACAGTTTGTGTATGGCCCCTTCCTGTTCCAACAAAGGTCCATAAAGACATGGATGAGCGAGTTTGGGGTGGAGGAACTTGACTAGCCTGCACAGAGTCCTGACCTCAACCCGATAGAACACCTTTGGGATGAATTAGAGCGGAGTCTGCAAGCCAGGCCTTCTCATCCGACATCAGTCCCTGACCTCACAAATGTGCATCTGGAAGAATGGTCAAACATTCCCAAAGACACACTCCTAAACCTTGTGGACAGCCTTCCCAGAAGAGTTGAAGCGGTTATAGCTGCAAAGGGTGGGCCAACTCAATATTGAACCCTACGGCTTAAGACTGGGATGCCATTAAAGTTCATATGTGTGTAAGGCAGGCCTCCAAATACTTTTGGCAATATAGTGTATTTGTCTGCCTCTCTGACTGCTGAATTAGTGCTCTTATACACAGGGTGGGCTCTGCCTGCAATCTGCTTTCTCAGGAGGGGATCGGTCTGCTGATTCCTGCTTAGCAGGCGAATGACAGGTCCGTGTCCTCTGCACTTATGCAAGCGGACATGGACAGACACAGCCTGCTCTCCTCTATGGACAGTCGGATGTAAACAGACCACCTGTCTGCTTACACCCTATTGCCATCCGATCCACTGGATGGAGAGGGGAATGTCTGTTTTTAGCGGATTAGATTGGTTATAGGCAGGGGCGGACTGACCATTTGGAAACTCGGGCACTGCCCGAGGTCAGTAGGGGGCCCCATGAGATGCCCCTGGTACCTTTTTCATAGGCTTTTTTGAGTTTGGGCACGGACACAGGGGCCCCATGATCCCCTATTGCCCGGGGGCCCCATGAGTTGTCAGTCCACCCCTGGTTGTAGGCAGGTGTATATGGACACATGTCCACTTACACCTGCTGCTCCATAGAGGAGAATGGAGGTTCTGATCGGGTCCGCCTGAAAACACAGACATGATTGGAATTAAGAAATCACTGTGTCTGTAATATTGAACGTCGAATCAAAAGAATGTCTGTAATATCAAACTACTTTTACATGTAGTGTCAAATGTCAACTATAGATTGTATCACCCCATGTCTATGTTTAGGTTAAACGTGCACTCTCTGCTCCTCCCCACTAGTGTCAGCAAAAGCAGCCATAGAAGGAACAAATCTCAGCCAGTTCATCAGGGACCGGACAGAATTCGATCCATCTATGGGCAGACTGATTGTACCCAAGTTAATCCATCGATCGACTTGGGTACAAGCAGACTGCCAGATTTTTATCTCTAATGGAGGAATCAAACGATTTTCTTTCCTGCAACTAAAATCACATAATCTGTGGCTTGCCTAAGTCCCCCTTTTTCTGCTTTATAATTCTCCTTCCCAGTTTCTCTTTTTTTCAGTGTCTCTTCTGCACCTTCTTTGCTAATTTCCCCATATTCTCTATGCACCCCTTACCAGCATAGGCAATTTTTCGATAAAAGCAAACTAACCCTTCAAATATATTGTGGAAATATGTTCACTGCTCTGTGGCTGGAGGTCAGAAGACTCAGATTCTTCTCTTTTTTTTTAGTGAAATACTGTATCTTGTTGGCTATCAACGTTCTTCATTCAAACAGAACAGTGAGGCAGCAAAAGTCAGTAAAAGTGACATAATATTGTAAAACAATCATTTATATAATTTGTCTTCCTTTTTCCTTAATTTTAGTGTCACCATGGAAAACCCCTGAAATTTGTCTCTCTCATCTCTGGAAGCACTGTGAGTTAGAAGGTAAATGACAATGTATTGCTGCAAAAGTCTTATTTCTCAACCTGGTACATTATGTGAAATACATTGCATGGCAAAAGTTTGTGGAGCCTGACTATCACACCCGTATGAGCTTGTTGCAGGGGCGGACAGACCATTTGGAAACTTGGGCACTGCCCGAGGGCCCGGGGTCACTAGGGGGGCCCATGAGATTCCCCTGGTACCTTTTTCATAGGCTTTTTTGAGTTTGGGCAAGGACACAGGGGCCCCATGATCCCCTGTTGCCCAGGGGACCCATGAGTTGTCAGTCCGCCCCTGGCTTTTTGATGGGAGTTCAGGAATGAGGGAGGTGGGTGGTGTGCAAGGTATCACTGTCCATCATAAGTCCTTGGAAATCAGCCACAATGCTTGCAGATTATTGATATATCCCCAAATTCACAAGTAACAAATGTATACACCACATGCACACTAATATTCCATCGCTGTCACCAGATGTTACGGATCATGCTCACAGCAACTTGCTAACTAAAGCAAGATCCTTGTTTGGTGGTGGAGGAATCAGTAGAGAGCTTGTCTTGGGAAGGTAAAACAGGGCTGTGAAACAGTTATCACAGCCTGCAATACTTGCCTTGTTTACTTTTCATTCTGTATCTCCCTCTGTTCTCCCCTCATGTTTAGTGCTACCTAGTTCTGTCCTAACTAGACCGTCCCTGTTTCTTTCAGTCAGTGTTAGTTCTTTGCAGAGGCAGGGCTTAGGAAGGTAATTGTCTTCTTACACTTCAAAAGACTGAAGTAAAATTATGTTGGATTCAACTTTTGTGCCCTATTAAAGAGTTAAGCTGTCTGTGGATAGTGCCACATCAGCAGGTAACCATACTCTGTGGACTTTATGAAGGTATGTCAATGCATAAAGTGCCATTTGAAACAGAATATACCATTTTGCATCCAGCTGCAGCTGATATTGTGTATTATCAGAAGGAATAACTCATCTCCCTAGGATTAAAATTTTGTATTTTGTATGAGCTGTAATATATTCCTTCTGATCTATAAGACCCCTTTCACACAGGCGTTCTGTCTGTCTATTTTCATCTGTCTGTTGACAGATGAAAAACCGACAGCAATGCATTCCTATGGGCAAACTAGACATGTACGGTTCGTTTCATTTAGAATTGAAATTCGGACTAATTTTTAAATTTTTCGGATATATTCAAATTTCCGAACACAACAGTAATGAATTTCAACGAATTCAAATGAAATAGTAACAAAATGAGTTTGAATTTATTTAATAATAGCTGGTTGCGTCTGTAACAACCATGCCTCATCTGCTGTCAGAGGGATCCCCTGCTAGCTCCCGCTGCTGTGTCTCATGAGGAGAGAAAGACCTGAGGCTCCCATGCATGGTACTGAATCAGGATCAGGAAAGTATTAAGGGGGGGCTGTGGGCGGAGCAGTACACAGAAGGTTTCTTACCTTCATTCAAGGAATGCACAAAGGTGAAAAACCTTCAGTCTTTACAACTATTGAATCAAGAACATACTTGTAACATTGTCATCTTTCCTTCTGTATTTAACATTACACCATTCCATAACTATAGGCATGAATATTAGGGTTGCCACCTCATCCCTTTAAAACTGAACACATTAACCACCTCCCGTCCGGCCGTTGTATATAAATGGCCGGACAGTGGCAGTGCAGGGTCGGGTGGCCATTTATAAACGGCCTCCCCGCACCCTGCTTGTGCGCGCTCGCTGGGAGCACGCAGCACCGCGATCCAATGCCCGCTGTGTCCTCCGGACACAGTGTAACACCGATTGTCAGACAGGACCTCATTGCTTACTACGTGTGAAATCTGTGAATGATCACAGAGCTCATCAAGTCTTACATCTGACTCTGCTTTCCAAGCCGTATTTTGATGCACAGGCACATCCTGGGCTCTACTTCCTGATCCTATAGAAAGAGTTTGCTGCTGGACGGCTGGATGTTCCACCTGGATCTTATTACACCACGAGTCTTTTTAAATATTTATCATATGAGTTCCACACCTGAGATGTGGCCAGCAGGCATACAGGATCCTGACCCTTACATGAGTACTGATGACCTCGTACACACCTGATGAGAGAGGCAAATCTCAAAAGGCGTATTTTTTTTTACGCACTTCTGGTGAGTGCGCAAATTTACGCATTTATTTTATTTCATCTACCACTTCAGATCAAGTCCTCCACGCACCTATTCTAGGATCACATTAGACCCTCACACGGGCTTCTCATACCTTGGGACATTCATTTTATTCATATTTTATTAATTATTAGTCACCATTAGTGACATGTGACCTTGCTTTTATATCCATTGATTTATTATATATCCAGTCGTTTACTTGATTTCCAGCGTTGCACTTACTTTGTTTTATATGTCATTTTGAAGGTGTTGTTTGGTTACCTTTTAGTGTTCTAGCCGCTACATCTTACTTCTGATAGCGCTCGTATTACCGCTTTTTAATTTATATTGTAAAGTGCTGAGCAAACTGTTTGTGCTATATAAATCCTTTATAATAATAAATAATAATTTGCAGGCAAGTGTGTCAACATGCACTACTACTTGCCGTACCGCTGGCAGATGTTTAATGGATCAGATTGGGAAGACTTTGAAAACATGGAGGATATTGAGATGGCTTATTGCAATCCTATGAATGAAATGTAAGTACACCTGAACGCAGATTTTAAACTGGAATCTGATTTAGGATGTAAGAGACTAGCCTCCGCTCCGAAGGTATGCACCAGGGGTACTAGACTGAAGTTATGTGTTATTCATAACATCTCTCTTTAAAGTTTAACTTGGTAAACTACACACAGTATACAGATAGGTATGATACCTTTATTGGTTTTGGTGTTTGTATTGTTTGAAAGTCACTTGCAACAAGTCAGAGTTCAATGAAAAAGACACTGCTGCACTCTGATGATGTCACCAACAGCAACTTTATTTCACAGAGCCAAAATGACAGTCTCTGCTTGGGGACTGCCACTAACGCGTTTCTCTCACACAGGCTTGAGTAGAGGTTCTCTACCACTAAGCCCATGTGGGTGAAACATGCCAGAGTGGGTGGTTCACAGGTGGGGACTGTCATTTTGGCTCTGTGTAAAGTTGTTGGTGTTTGTGACGTCATCGAAGTGCAGTTGTGTGTCTTTTTCATTGAACGCTGACTTGTTGCAAGTGACTTTCAAACAATACTAATACTAGTAACTAGTCTTCCAGACTCTATACAAAAGAGTAAGAATGGGTTTTGGCCAGATTGGGGTTTTTATAAAATAATAGTGTTAGATAGTTTATTGCTTGATTCCCTCTGTGGACACCTGTTCTTCAAAGGGATCATTAGTGTCCAGAAAAAATGTAATGTTTGTAACCACACTGATGCACAATATAACCAAAGGTTTTGTAAACACCTGACCATCCAAACTTCATGAGCTTTTTGGACACCCCAATGCAAACCCATGACCATTAACATGCTTTCCACAAGATTTTAGAGTGTGACTGTGGGAATTTATGCCCATTTGTGAGGTTAGGTACTGATGTTGGATGAGAAGACCTGGCTCAAAATCTGCATTCTATTTCATCCCAAAAGTGTTCAGTAGGTTTGAGGTCAGGGCTCTGTGCAGACGACTCAAGTTGCTCCACACCAAATTGGTCACACCATGTCTTTATGGAGTTGGATCAGTCTTCCTGGAACAAATATAAGGACCTTCCCCAAACTGTTATCACAGTCTAAAATGTCTTAGTATGACATAACATTACATTCAACACCTGACCTCAATGAGTGGGGGGGGGGGTCCACATACGTTTGGCCTTATGGTGTATTTGTAATTCTTTGTTCTTAACTATATGTACTGAATTCCAAAGAAATGTAATGGAATTGACTGATGAACTCGCTCTCTTATTTATCTTTTCTTCTTCTATCCGTTTACCTCTTTCTCCATGTTTCTGTCATAGCATCAAGAAGGCAATCCCATGGTCAGAAAGAAATAAAATTGTCAGGTACGAAAACCTATTTGTTCTTTAGTTCAGATTGTTACTTCTGAAATTAGAAGATGAGTGTGATCTGCACTCCTTCCATAGAATATTTACACACTGAGGATACAGCAAGTACTTTACAGTCCCTGGGAGCTTAAAATGTGTCTAAAATCCAAAACAAAAAAAATGGAATTTTCACCAGCTCTTACATTCTAACTAGGGGACCTTGTTGACCTCACAGTATCTCTTATTTGCATTGTTGTGCTGTAATGTGATGGGTAGGAAGGGGGGTGCTTAGAAGTGGTGATGTTTACTAGTATTCCAAAAAGCACTAAAGAAATGCAGGCTCTGAAGGCTGTTGCCAAGTTGTCATTCTTCATATAAGTCAGCCATATGCAGCATAACTGTATGTGCAATACCTTACAGACTCACTTGTTTTAATTGTGCATTAAATTATAACATTGGCATCAACTGTAAAACCAACTGACCATCTGATAATCAGGAAGAATGCTGCACTTTGCACCAGTAAACTGAAATCTGCCCACTTGGCTGCAAAATGTGATATGATCCTGGACATTTTTGTCCCTTTTGTATTGTAATCTTAGCATCAACTTTGAGGCAATGAAAGCAAATACCAAGCCGGTCCGAAGGCTGTCTTCACCTTCTTCTGTTACACAAGACCCTGAATACGTACTGACAACTGAATGGATTTGGTACTGGAAGGATAACAGAGGCACTTGGATTGAGTACGGGCAGCCAGTAAGTGAAAATCCATTTTAAAGAGTCTTGCTTATGTAGCACTACCCTCTTAGGAGTCGCTGAAGATTTGGGTCCCCCTATAGTCCTGCACAGCCAGGCAACACACATTTCCTTCCAGCCTTGCACTCCAGAGACAGCAAACAGTCCTTGAACTTGTTTTTTTTTTTGTTTTATGGGATGCCCAAAAACAGTTGAACTGAAGGCAACTTCCTAGAACTATGTACAAGTGCTCAGAAGGATTTTCTCTTCTTGGAGAACTATCCAGCCTCTCCTGGTGTATCAGCTTGGACCTCAGATGAAATCTCCTCTTCACTCAGCTGCCTGAGGGAATCCCTGGGCAAGAGGACCCAGAATCTGCCTTTTTAAGATTAGCAGTCCCAGATGGGGGCTAGTCAGGTTACCCACCCAAATGCCCTTTCGCAATATCCGGCCCTGGGGGTGTGGGGATACTTACTCAGTAGCTCTTGCAAGTTTGTGGGTTGGTAGCTGCCTTCAGGCCTTACACTGGGCTGGCTCCTTCCCTGCTTCCCAGGCTGTCCTCTCTTAGGGGACAATGAGGCTGAGAGCTCTTCCCTTCCAGCTGCTCTGCCTGTACGTAGGCGCCTCTCCTGGACCCCTCCCAGGCTCCACACACCATCCTGCTCACTCCATCTTCCACCCGAACTCTCCTGCTGCTGAGCAGACTCCACCTCTAATAATCACTGTCCTGACCCCATGCCAAGCCTCCTGCTTGGGGATTAGCTAGTATTCCTTGAGAGTGCAGACCTGCTCCTCCTAAAGCCCACCCACTGAATTCTAGAGACTTCTCCAAGTCTCTAGATCAGAGAGAGGTTTCAGAGAGCTGATCTGCAGAACTTCTTAGCTCTGACCCACATTTGACCTTCTGGCCATTTCTCCCAGCTGCTATTCAGCCTCCTACTAAAAAAGGAATTAACTTAGCTCCCCCCTAGCTACCTAGGAGGGTACTACACTTAATCTTCTCCCTCTGAAGTTATGCATGAGGCCTCAACCAGAGCCCAGGTAGCTTGAGAGTCGGGTAAACTCTGGGCAGTACATTTTTTGCAAGTACAGAAAAATTCCTGCTGATCCTGACAGAAATGAAGTGTCCTAACACTTCATTAAACTGACATCTCAAACTATGTTAACAATCTTCCCCCTATTTAATGGAGATGAGTAAAGCAAAAGGTGTTTGTAGTCCAAATCAGAGGATCCTAGGGTGGCAGCTCTGCTGTATGGGTACAGTACATTGAATGAGAGCTGTCACCATAGGACAGGTAGTGCTTTAATGGTGGAACCACCAGGTCAAAATAAAGGGAAAATGGCCTGAAAAAAGAAAATGTATACATTCCATTACATGTAAGTTCTGTGTGATAAAAATAAAGATTTATTGTTTGCCCCTGCTATTCCAGGATAGATCAGGCACGTGTGCTAGCATTTCGTCATCGGACCTTGAAGATGTCTACAGCTACAATACCACTAAGACGATGCTGTTCACGGCTGGCTGGCATAATTATGTGCTGGACCTCCAAGGTGGGCAGGAACTTTTGAACTTTTCTATCATAAATCAGCTAACATACCAGTTGACTGAAAGTATGAAATAATGTATCAGCTTCACTCCACTCTTAGTTTCTCTTGTCATGTTTATTAGTTATTAACCACTTCACACCCTTAGGATGTACAGTATCATAGCCACAGCTGCAACCATGAACCCGAATTTTCAGCTGGCAATGTACTTTAAAGTGGTCACAGAGGTTACAATTTTTTAAATAACAAACATGTCATACCTACGTGCTCTGTGAAATGGTTTTGCAGAGAAGCCCCGATCTTCCTTTTCCCAGCTCCCCTGCCAACACTACAGGCCCCTCCCCCTGATGAGTGCAACCAGAGAAAACCACAGAGTGTGGCTCGGCCCCGCCCCCTGCTCCCTCCTCACTGGCTGTGATTGACAGCAGCTGGAGCCAATGACTCCCACTGCTGTGTCTCAGTAAACAAGAAGGCAGAGACCCGGGAGAGCTTCTGCTCTCGTGCACGTTGCTGGATTGTAATGGGGCTCAGGTAAGTATTAGGGGGGGCCAGGGCCGCCATCAGGGAGGGACAGCCGATACACACGTAGGGGGCCCAGATATTCTGAGGGGCCTGGCCGTGCTGGGAGAAGCAGGGGCAGGAGGAGCATGGCTGCACTGTCTCTCTACACATTCACTACCACTACACAAGAGTCGGCTAGTGCTCTGTGTCATTGAGCTCACATCAGCTTATTACAGTCACCTGTGGCTGCTTCCTGCAAGCGCACTCCTAGTGTGTGCTGCCTGTACTGGCTCCACTCTGTGTTTGGGCAACCTGTCAGCTTTGTGGAAACAGGAGCTGGATCTAAGTAGACATCCTTTACAAGTAGGGGCTGTGTGTATGCTAGTGAAGGGATGGGGCTGTTTGTGTACGGGGGGGGGGGGGGGGGGCAGAGCTATGTGTGTACCGGTGTCAGGGGGGCTGAGTGTGGATCGGTGTGGGGGTGGCTGAGTGTGTACAGGTGTGAGGGGGGCCAAATGTGTGTACAGGTGTGAGCAGGACAGGATGTGTACAAGGGCTGAGAGTGCAGAGGTGTGAGGGGGCTTAGTGTGTACAGTTGAGGAGGCTGAGTGTGTACAGGTGAGGGGGGCGGGGGTTCAGTGCTTACAGGTGTGAGGGAGCTGCCTGCAGGACTGCTCAGTGCTCACTGTGGACTGGTCTGGAGACAGGTTGATTGACAATGTTGCTGGATGTGGGCCTGTGCTGTGACCTTTCCTGGTTTGGGCTGTCTCTTAGCTATACTGGGATGTCTCTTTGCTGGATTGGGGTGTCTCTTTGATATATAGGGATGTCTCTTTTACTGAATATTTGGGGATGTCTCTGCTGGATTGGACTGTCTCTTTGCTGGATTGGGCTATACATTTGCTGAATTGGGCTGTCTGTTTGCTATATGGGGATGTTGCTTTGCTGGATTGAGATGCCTCTTTGCTGAATATATGGGGATGCCACTTTGCTGATTTGGGCTGTCTGTTTGCTATATGAGGATGTCTTTTGAATATATGGTGACTATATGGGGCTCTTTGCTGGATATATGGGGATGTCTCTTTGCTGGTTTTATGGGGATGCCACTTTGCTGATTTGGGCTGTCTGTTTGCTATATGAGGATGTCTTTTGAATATATGGTGACTATATGGGGCTCTTTGCTGGATATATGGGGATGTCCCTTTGCTGGTTTTATGGGGATGCCTCTTTGCTGAATATATTTGATTTTTTTGTTTTCTTAGATCTGCTCGGAGAGAATAGATTGGGGGGGGGGGGTATTGAAAAGGTAGTGCAGTTAGTATTAATGTAGGGTCCTACTCAAAACATTGACATGGTAGCAGGCTTCATATTTTTTGGCCAAAATATAATTCCTTACCATTAAATCTTGAAAGCACTGATGACTTGGAATACACTTTTCATATATTAAGTTGTAAGAGTGTTAAACTAAAAGTGGGTGCACTCAGGCCAGTGGTTTATTCGGCTACATGAATAAGCATGTGATGGTTAAAGGGCCCCAAAATGTCTGCCAGCTTTGATTTATATAAACAGATCAGGGGAATCTATTTAATCTCTCATAAAAGCTAAAACATTAATTGTAGAGAGATAAAAACAATCCTTCTGCTTGAACACATTTTAGGCTACATATACATGTAAAACTGTTTGTAGCATATGTGGAATCCCGGAGAAACACACAAAATGGTTATATGGTGCCTGATTGAGACAGCTGAACAGTGATTGTTACTGTCATGATCGCACTGACACGCTGGTGCCAGAAATCCCAACCCAGTGATCCAAACCGTTCCTAGCCCATTTGAGACTGGTCACTTCTGAACACAGAATGTCCTGTGGGCTGAGATGGGAACATCCCCAAGGGTTGATTGGCCAAGGGCTAAAGTCCTGCCCACATCTATATTTCAATATATTGAGGACCCTGAAATATGGACAGGTTGATTCATACGGAGCTGGTTCCATTTGACTGGTGAACCGTGAACTTTTGATTGGCTCCAGTCACAGGATAAATCTTGGTAAAATTTTTATTGCCTTTTTATGTCATAGTGAATAGCCAATTGTGTATGTCTTTTTTAATTCCTTTTCTTTGCATATATTGTATACACTGCCCACTTTTGGGATATTAAGCTATAAAATTAATAAGTGACTTCTGTGTACTAAACCAGGGCTCATATCCCTGGAAAGATAGTTACATTTTAGTGTCTATGTGCTAGGTCTAAATTCATTACCAATCTGTATGCAATTGCACTGTGTGTTGACAGACTGCATGCAGATTGTATATGAGCAGATCTGCCAGTTGGAGTTCTGTGTGTGTGGTGGCCTAGCAGACCAGTCTGCAGACAAACTGTTGGTGGTGGCAAGCTACCATCTGGTGTGTGCACAGTGGAAGAGTGATTAACACTTGAGTTCTAGCTTGTAGGATAGCTGGAAGAATCCTAGAAAGGTGTGCTAATTGCTAGACTGCTCCACAACCCTTAGAGAGCAGCAGATTATAAGTAAGATTCATATCTGCCTGTGTGTGGTCAGCCAGCTGGATTGGAGTCTCCCTCTAGTGGTGGCCAAAGGTAGTGTGGGCTGTGAGAGGGTATCACAGTCGGTCCCCCTCATTCCCTCTTTACCCTAGTGAAGGACTGTGCCCTGCTTAGCTAGTCACCTAGGGCATGCTTGGTCGTGACACTGGACTTACACTCCGTTTACACTTGGGTGTAGCTGAAATGCAGGCAGAAACTAGTGTTTCTGCCCACATTTCTGCAAATATGTGAATATGCACCTGCAGTGGCATTATTTCTTAATGCCACCTCGAATGCGGTTAACAGTCGTCCGCTTTGTCATGCAGAAAATGCACAAAAACATGCCATACAAACGTTCTTCGCTTATATCCAAAATTT